CCCAATGGGATCAGCGTCCGTGTCGGAGGACATGTGGGGTGGGGGTGGGACTAAACCATAGAGGGCAGGACCGGGTTACGCAGGGGAAAACCCGGACTGGACAGCGTATGTGGTACCCTTTGAAACTATAAGACCCTCCGGTGGGCTGCAGTCGTTGCAGTCGTTGCCTGGGGTTACGGCTTAACTACAGCCTGGTGGGGGCCTTTGTTGCATTGGGAAGGTAGGTATCAGCAGGGCCGGGACATGTAACAAAACGTGTTGGTATGTGGCAGCATGAGCTATACAACGGCTGCGCTGTGCATTGGGCAGTTGGAACATTAACGGGCTTGCATCAAAGAACTAGCATCAAAATGCAAGCATAGCGATATACCGTAGTGTTTCACGCCTCGGTGAATGGTGCACGGTTTGCATCGGTCGGCTGACCATGGTCAAATTTGGCTCCCCGTGGCGAACCACAGCAGGAGCCTCAGCACTCATCCGCAGGCCGATGACGTAACAGGCCCACGAGGTCACGAGGTATAAGTTTTCTTCCATCCATTGGACTTCTGAGGACTTAAGTTTACGGGCCGGCGTCCCGTCATCTGACAAAAAGTGCTGGCGCGAATTGCTCAGTACGCTCTGATAGTGGCCTGAGTTTGTGCTCTGGCCCGTATGAACGATAACAAAAGCAACGCGATAATCATGACTGGCCGCCTCAAGCCCCTGGCCGGATCGGAAAACCGGCATGGGGACGACTTCCCCAGGTTTGCACCTGATGCGCGTGTGCAGTTTGCGCGGCGCATGTGCCTCCCATATGAATCGTTTTAATCTGAAGAACTACACATGGCGGCGCTGAGGTAAGGGCGTGCGGGCATTCATGCTTATGCCATCCCTGGACAATGGCTCCCAGGGTACTGGCATTGGGCTCCAATTGAATGGGTTGCCACAGATATGCTGCGTCCCGGACTTCAGTCCCGGCTTCGCGGAGACGTCTGGACTCCCACATACCTGTCATAGCTGCGGGCTCAGCATATTCCATGAGGTGAGCCCAGAATTCAGCAACGTCGTGTTGAATATTAAGCTGGGGCCACATGCGCAGGGGTTCCATCCCTTGCAAAAGACCTGGCACATAGGCTGGCTTACGGGCTGTGGTGGAGGGTATGCTATTGAGGGCCCTACTCAAAGCACCATAAACCTCATGAGGGACGCCATGGAGTCGGCCTGTCCAAAGAAGCGCATGAACGCTAGCATTAAGGTAGCAGACATTATGTGGGTTGCGTAGGTGCAATGCTTGCGGGCGTTGCACGGCGCTGGCCTCACTTACTTGAGCTCCTCTTGCTCCGCCTCCTTCTCGCTGCCGCCCTTGTTGTCGCCGCTGCTCTTCGCCTTCGCCTTCCCCGGGTTCGTCTGGTCGAGTAGGTTGGCCGCCACTTCCGACAGCTTCACTGCCAGCGGCTGCCTTTTGAGGCGATCCTGGCGCATCCGGGCACCGATTAGGCGCATGCAGGCATTGTCGCAGAGTTTGACCAGGCAGCTGCGAAGCTCGTCCGCGAGCGGGCCTCGGTTGGAAACCATGAGGATCATCGGGAGGACCTCGGACTGGTACTTCTCCGCCATCGGCCGCGTAGCATGGAATTTGTGGAGCATATTCTCCACCGTGATTAGCTCGAAGATCCTGTGGATCGCGGCCTTGATGTCGGCGTGCGGCAGTGGAGGGCGCTTGGCATCCACCTCCTGCGCCTCCGTCTCCGGGTTGTAGACCATGTAGGCCCAACTCGGTGGGTTGACCTTTGTCACCCACCCACGCTTCTCCATGGTGGGCCGGTTGTCGTCCTCGAGGGCGGTCTCCATGAGTCGTCGCATGTGGGAGAGCATCGAGATGATCAGGGTGGTGCGCAAGGATTGGTTGCACTGCCCGGCCTCCTTCTTCGCCTTCCAGTCTGCACTGATGTCGAAGAGCTGGCGGGTGATGCTGAGGCTTCCCCTGGTGTCCAGGTAGAGCATGAAGCTGGAGTCTACCCGGACCGCTGCTTCCGTGTCCTCGTGGCGTAGACAGAGCCTGGTGAGCAACGCCACGATCTCCCAAAGCTCCTCGGGATTCACGGTCTGGGTGAGGGCACCGTTCGGCTGGTCCGTCTTCTCTTTCCATCCGGCCCATCGGTTCCACTCGCGGCCCCAGGTCTGCCCTTTGCCCCCCTTGTTGCTCGGCTTGTGCCATTTCCGAGAGTCCTCGGCTGGCTCCGCTTCCTCCCTCGCCCTTGCGCGAGGGTTCAAGTGGTGCGAGAACATATCCCCGATCTCCTCCTCCGCCTCCGTCGTCTTTGGCGGCTCGGCTTTTCCAGCCATGGAGGGTGACCTTATGCACCGTAATGGTGTGCAACAGACATGCTTGGAAGTACGCAGTGCAGACAGGTGGGTGCGCGGCGGTGCTGAGGGGCTGGAAAGCGCAAGCCTTGCAAGGGCCTTTGTACCTAAGCCGGTAGTGCTTCTTGAGCCTGCGATTAACATCGTCCTTGTGCTTCCAGAGATCAGGATGCATTCGCCGGATGTGGTTCTTGATGCCCCCTTTTTCTTTGGAGCACCATTGCGTGCAGAATGCACAATGACTACTAAGCACAGTACCCTGATCCTCAGCCGTCTTTACCCAGTCCGCTGCAAGTTGTTGCATTAGCTGTGGCTCGCTAACAAAGGGGCGTAAGATACTAGAATTCTCGTTAGCGGTAGGGGTGTGAGGAGGGTCTTGCTGTTCGTTTGCTGCATTTGGCCCTGGCTGGCTCCCCGCAGCGTGCTGCAAAGCGGGAGCCAGCGGAGGCGAGGGCTGAGTCTCAGCGCCCTGCGGAGCGGCTGTCTGGGACGAAATCAGAGACTGGCAGCCGCGTAGGATGTGGTCTTGGAAGCCACGCCACTTCCGAAATGTACGTTTGCAATGCCTACATACCGGCATGCCATCCACACAGTGTTGCGTAATGTCAATTTCATACCTGGCTTTCTTATCCGCAAACTGCTCTGGCACTAGGCTATATCCGTGCTTGCGTTTGACGTGGCCTCGCATGATTCGTCGGTTGGGAAAATACAGACCGCATTCGGGGCATGCAACACCCTCTTGACTACAGGGCAACAGGCTGGTCAATTGCGTAAGGTGTCGAGCTTCGACGAGGCGGGTGTGTAGTGCCTGCTGCCACGCAATCTCCGGCTCCAGCCCCGGGAACGGTGCTTGTACAGCATGCATTGCTGCCAGCCGGTTCTGCATAAGGGCTCCTAGAGCCTCTGCCACCGGTGTGTAGCCGAGGCGTGCCATCAACGCTGCATTGGTCTCATGACTTAAGTGTCGCGGCGACCTAGTGATAGCTCTTAAATGCCTGATTTCGAATTTATGCAGTGTTTGCAGGCCCTTTTCGGTTACTCCGACTGCCGGCAGTCCGTACAGCGTGGCACTGCGGACGCAGGTCCTATACATGCTGATGCGATGTCTCTGGCTGAGGCCTCGTTTGCCGAAGAGGTACTTTGAAAGCCTAGCTAGGTTAGCCTTGGCAGCATCTAGGCGTTTGGTCAACGTTTGCTCCTCATAGGCACCGTAGCTTACCACTACACCCAAGTATTCGATCTGGTCGACGCAGGCCAGTGGCAATGGTGCAAAGGGGGTTCCCAGATTAACATGTGCCACATCCCGTATGTGTTGTTTACGCTTCTGAACCCATCTCTTAAGGGCGCCCCCTGTAACCTTAATGAGGAACTGCGACTTCTCGGTGTTGACCTGCATTCCAGCTTCGGCCAGTATACGAAAGAGTTGCTGGACTCGATGCTGCATGTCGGCCGCGTCTTGCAGGGAGCGCAGGTC